TTTATAATTCGAAATATTTCTAAAAATAACTTGTGAGACTATAAAAAATATATTAACCCATTTCTATCAAAAAACTAATAAATATACAAAAAAAAACAAACAAATAAGAAAAATAAGAATAAAATGAGGGAAAAATATCCCTATAGAAAACATAACATATGATTTTCAAAGAAAAAAGCAAAATGAAAAAAAACTTGAAATGAAATTTAATATTGGAAACTATGTTTAGCTACTTAAGATATCTCAATTTCTCCAGATTCTTTATTTTTCTACTTCACTTAGTTTGCATGTTTCATATTCTTTATAAATTGTAAATATATATACTTACACACATTATACAATATATTACATTTAAACAAATATGAAAACTTTACAAATTTAAGGGTTAACATATCTTCTTAATATACATATCAGATTGCAACTTTAAACATTTGCAAGATTACAGTTATTATTTTGGAATTAATTGAAGTGTGCTCATCCAATAACATGAGCTAAAACGTGTTTTATTTTATTATAAAGTTAATTGTATTTAAGGGAAATATGAGTATTTAGGTGAAAATTAAAAAAGAATAATGGAAATAACGTTTAAACCACATGTGAAGCTATATCGAAATAAAACTTTTTAATAAAGAAAGTTTTTAGCACTTGCGAAAAAGGATTTGATTTGTTCTTCCACCGTGGCATAGCCTAGTTGGACTTTAAAAAATAAAATTATTGTTAAAATTAACCGTTGCCTTAAACTCTAAATTTGTGAAACAGTTTTTGCTTCTCGACGATAAGCTGCAGAAGTTTAAAATTTTATCTGATTTTAGATACTAATAAACACTTGATATTGCTTAAAGAACAATTATTTCTTCTTTGGTCTACTCTCGAAATTTCTTAAATTTACATTTTTGGCAGCTCATATTTCTGAAACTGTAAGCTTTTCTAAATTTCCATGAATGTGGAATGCTAACGGTATATTTCATGCTATCAAAAAATATAATAATTGTTCTTAGCTCACTTTCTAAACCGTCTTATTCAACTATTATGTTAATGCTTCTTTCATTTTTTTAGTTCATCCCAAAAGTATGCAACATTTTTATATACAATTGGGTATGCCAATGAAACTAATTCATATAATGTAGATTGCTTTTAAAAAAAGTATTTTCTTTTGATGAAGGGTAAAGTGCAACTTTACAAACCATTGGTTCCTTCCAACCCCTTGCTAAAATTATTTTAAATTCTGTGCAAATGAAAGTAAATTCAGAAATCTTAAAAATTTAAAATGGCAATTTACGAGCAAATTGAATAAAATGGTAGGATTTTAGTTTGGATTTCTTTAGGAATTTTTTATTTAAATTTTTTCATTAATGGAAAGTATTAGAGCATCAATTTCAGTGTTCTCAATATAAAGCATTTTTCTTTATTACAATCAACTTTATATTAATGTTAGGCTTTAAGTAAGAAATTCCTGCAAATTTTTAAAATGAGTTGTATTTTCTAAAAAATGAGTTGTGTTGAAAACCTCTGAGCTATATTGTATAATACACCTTGAGTTGGTAAAAACAAATTATTCGATATGCTGTGTTTTGGTATAATAAGATCTCATAAGAAACATATTCCTTTATAATTTTTAATATCAGTTATTTTGGTTTCTAATAGAACAAGATTTAGTATTGTTTCTTAGCTCAAAGGCCGTTATTAATTTACTAATACTTTGCAAATACATTTTTTTTTCTTGTAACTTTCTTGTATAAACCAAAATAGAATACAAATTAAATTATAAGCAAATTATTTTACTATCAAATTAAAAAAAGAAATTGTTTTAAAGAATTGAACAAATTATATTGCGTGCGACCCTATAATTTTTAGGCTACTCTTAGAATTATCTTTAAGACTAAAGGCAATTTAAAGATTTCCGTTCAAGCAAAAAAGCGTTCAAATTCAATGGTGTCAAATAAAAACGTCTACTTTATTCAATTTCTCATTTCCAATTTCAGCTACTCATATTACTATCTAATCTGGAAACCTTAACCATATTTATACATAAATTTCTATATTATGTACAGTTTTTTTTTATTTTTCTTATTTAAAGTTCAATTTTTTATGAAACCAATTTTGGATTTTCTAGACGAAAAAATTCCTACATGAGTATAAGAAAACTTTTTAATATGGTAAGAAAATAATATAAGAAGTAACAAAAGAAGAAAAAAAAAAGAAATAACAGTACAGAAGAATGATAATGTTGTAATAAAGAAATTGTGGGAGGGCAAAAAAACATACACGTATAAATAAAAATAATAACAAAAGAATAGAAGAAATATAGGGAATAAAAAGAAAAAAGAAGAGAGAAAAAATCAAAGAAAACAAAATCTGTGAGAATCTGAATCACAATAGGATTTGACTACTTACCTTGGGATATCTTTTAGTATTTCTAAAACGTTTTTACATATTATTCGTTTTCTATTTTCCTTTTCGATATTTTATTCTGCTCGGTTAACAATACTACGTACCTATACAATATTTTATATACATGTATGTATTTGTCATATCCCCCCTTCTATTCTTTTATTTCTAATAAACTTATTTCGATATTCATTCACTTACAACATTTTGTATTATTTTTCCTATATTGTGTACATATCAAATTTTTTATTTCACATTTGAGAAAGGTTCCTTTTTTTTGTGAATTCCTTATGCATATTTTCATTTTTCATTTTCATCCTACACATGTATGTACCCATGCAAAGTTATTTTGGTGAAATTATGTAGGTATACTTATGTATAAATATCATATTGTATTACATAATACATATTATATACACAATATGTACATATTGATAGGTAATATGTCTGTTTTATTGTTACCGAAGGGATTCATTTGAAATGAATTTATAAAAAAAAAATATTATTATAAAATGAAAAAAAAGGCGAATATGAAACGTTTAAAAATTATAGATAAATTGAAAAACTGAATTAGTTATGCCGCTAAAACATAGGGTAAATATTATTTTGCATGCTCTCAAATTATATAATTAATTGTACCTAGCTACGTTATGCATCTTCATTATAATATACGATGTGATTGTAGCCAAATAATTGGGTTTGTAATTTGATTTAATATTAATAAGAAATATTCTCACTCCAGCCAAAGGAAGTGTACATGTGGAGGCAATTATTTAAATATAGACACAATATATCGTACATTGGGAAGAATAATGGAACAACACAAAAATATAATTTCGACTTCCAGAATTTAAAGTATTTATAACTGAGTGTAAATTAGTAACAAAGCTATTTCATACTATTGGTGTAAAACTATTCTACAAGTTTATGAATAAATTTTCTGTATTATTTTGTTACAGGAAAGTTTTATATATTAAAGTGTAATAGTAATAAAAGCAAGTTTGCTACTCTGCATTATGCCTTATGTTATTGTTCTCGCTAATGTGCAATATGTACTAATTTTAGGTAATTCAGAAAAAAAAGGTTGTGAAGGGAATTAGCAGAAAATATTGACGACAGGGTTGGGACTTTGAGCGTATTTTTATCATAAATATTGTTTATTCGATATATTTTCAAAAAATTATCGATTTGTAGATATTTTCGATATTTCCAAATATCAATATAGTCAAAAAAAATTTCGACCTCAAATTTAACGACACTTTAAATTCGAATTTGACCAAATTATTAAAGTTATATCATCAAATTGGAAAAAAAATTAGAAGGCTATAGAATAAAAATCTTGGAGGAATTAAATTTTTAGTTTTAAAAATTTTTCTAAAGTGGTAAATTTCATATTAGCTTTTATATGAAACTTGTATGTATGTGTAAAAAGAAAATGAGAGTTTAAATTTTATAAAGTGATGAATGTAAATCAATACTCGTATTACTATAATGTTGTTGTCGAGAAAGTTAATTAGGAATGGACACAGAATGTTAAAAATACGAAGGTGAAAATAGTTTTAAAATGAAATTTTGAATATGATTAACAATTAAATGCCGGCAAAAAAAGTATCGATATGCCGACATATTGTAATTATGAAAATATTGAGCAAATATAATAAAATCATATAGATAGGAATATTTTGTGTATAATTTCTCAACCCTGTACTAAACAATAAGTGATTTACTGAGTGTATTAGATCAAGAGGAGTTCTGAAGCTGAGAATAAAAACTCCTAAGAGCCTGGTGAAATTCACCAATTTTGTACATCATTTTGCGTTTACGAAATTTTTTTTTACCTTTTTGTGATTTAATATTATTTTAATAATATTCAATGCAATTTGTTGAATAAAGCTAAAATTAATAAAGAAATTATATTTATGTAGGTATATAGCAAGATTGGTGAATCGTATTTGCGTTTTATATGACACGTTTGTTTCACGTCTTTAGAGACCCATTTCTTAATTCATTCACAGAATATACTGTACAAATATTCACAATCTTGAATTTACATAAGCTCTAACATTGAAACTACTCTTTAAGGTTTGTAAAATTTACAATTTATAACAAGATGCAGCCAGTTAGTCAAAATTAATAATTATAGTTACATATTATTAATATTATTGACTTTATTTCTAATTATTGAAGCATATGAACTTTAATTTGGAAAGACCTTCTTGTGATATATTAATAGATTTATTATAATGATGATATCATTGTTTTCGGTTGGACTTGAATACAATATTTTGATTAAACAATGGAATGGAAAATAATTAATTAGAATTTCCACTAGATACATTTTGTTCTTCCTTGATGTCAAAATAACAAGATTATTGCATTACTGCGTTATTATAATTTGAAAATGTCAATAAATCAAAAGCAAAAAAATTATTGTTCCCGATAAATTTTCTCTCTACAGAACTGCAACATTAAATAACATATAAATAAGAATAGCCCATAGTGATACTTTAAACTTCCTGCAGTTCTTTGTTGAAAACTAATTTTACACTGTTTTCATATAAATTTTGAGAATAATGAATATGTAATAATAATTTTTATTTTATATTTTCCAGGTAAGCGATTGATTCAAACAATTTACATTATGTAAGTATACCTAGTTAAATTGTAATTTTCAATCATTTTTTAATTATTTTTACTTCAACCAGTTAGAGAAAAGAAATTCCATTGAGGAGAATAATGGAAAAATGTTAAAGAACTTCGAAGTAAATAATGTAGAATAAAGATTTTTAGATATTAAATTTGATGCGACCAACATAGTAAATGTAGACACTCATCTTGTAAGAACAGTGTTAAGCTATTTAATATGAATTTCGTTTAAATTATGTGCATATGTCGTACATATAACGTATTATGATTAGAGATAGAAAGTTCCCGCAAAAATATGCATGGAACTATGCTCCTTATAATGAAGAATAATATTCATTCAAATGTGCTACAAAAATCATAAGTTATACAGAAAATATTTTGTCCTGGATAACAATTTTATCGCATTATTTGTAATGTAAAACTCTGCAACCAGTTTGAAAATTTCCACTTCATTATTTTCAATAAAAACTCAAATAGGTGAAAACATTTACTCTTCTTTCATTCTAGTTATTTGTCTTCAACTAAAATACTATTTCTCTCTTTCAGCATTTAAGTATAATTGAATTTTGTAATATATTTTGTAATGAATTTTGTAATAAATTGAGTACTTATTTAGTATTTTATATAGTATTTTGAAAAATGATATTAAAATTTTAAGAAATAGTTTACCTTTTTTCGGTAGAAAATTTATTTGAATCTACTGACAGTCATAGTTTGAGTCAATATGTGGCTTAAACAGTGTTACCGCTCTGTTTATTTTGCGTTAAGTTGAAAAGCTGTTGAAATTAACTTGAAAAGCGTTAAGCTGAAAGGAAAGTTGTTGAAAATTTTCACTGAAATTGGCATTTATTTCTACGAATGTTAAACTTTTCTCTTAAAAAGAGTAATGAACTATGCATATTGAATTATTCAGAATTGTGGTCAGAGTAATTAACTTAGAAATCATAATTACTTTATGAATGAGAAATATATTGAATTCATTAAACAAAAGAAATTGTCTTTAAATAAAACTCTAATTTTTATAATTTCAAATTGACGAGGTCGTTTTCTGATTGACAATTAAAATATTTAAATGACAGCTGATCTATCTTAACAAATATATTTCTGGTATTACACCCATATTACAGTTTTACAATTGCATCGGGAAAAATTCAACAATTTTACTTTGTGATAGATAGCTTAACAAGGTACGATAACTGTCATATAAAACTGTCCTAATAGTTTGAATATTATTTTGTTGAAAACACAAAATTAACAAAAGTATTTTTAAGGAAACTTTAATAGCAAATTAATTTTTTTTTTGGAAGCGCCATTGTTTAAATATTTAAATAAAAATTTTCTTTTCAAATTTGTTCAATTTTCTCTGATTTTTCAATGAAATAAACTTGAAAATTTTATTAAAGGAAACCAAAAAAATTTTTCTGAAAAACAAAGAAATAAAATGAAAATATTTTCAGTTTGTAGTACAATAGTTAAGGTTCTTTATATTTAATATTAACTGTGGCACTTTAATTCCACTTGAAAAAAAATAATATTTACTTATTCACCAGGATTTTTGTTTTGGTAGGAACTTTATAAATTTAAAAATGTATAAGTATTCATAAATAGTTTTGTTCCACCTAAAATTGGTCAAGGTCAAAATTTTATTATGTTTTTTTTTCGTTTTATTATTTTAGGACATGATTAAAACAACACAAAAGATATTTATCTTTTATCGTTACTTTTATAGATATATTTTGTTCTTTTGTTTGTCATTCTCAATCCTCACTGCTATAATACTATGTTTACACGAAATGTGTATAATTATACATACATACATATAGTGTATATACTTATAATAGTGGAATAAATTTAAGTGAAACCCAAGGACATCCTTTTGTTTTATTTTTCCATTTTTCTTTTATGCCATTTCTCTAAATTATTTACTCTCTAAAATTATGTCCTAAAAACCATTTTTAAATATTTTTCAACAAAATGTATAAGTTTTACATGTATATACGTACATATACAGATTATATATTAATAATATACATGTATGTATGAATGTAACAGTTTTTACCCAAAATAAAAAAAAAAATTTTTATAAATAGAGATCCTGTCTGTCATAAGAATCCGGAACTTAATATAAAAAAATTGTGTACAACATAATAAACAAGAAAAAAATAGTTGTTTAGGGTGAGACTGGAAAGCAGTTGTCCCTGATATCTTAAGAACAATTGTTTTTTTAGTTAACAAAAAAACCAATAGGGTTTCTATTACTTTCCGAATTTTTTACGTAAATTTACTAAGCGTATGATATGCTAAGATTATAAGTATGTGTGATTTGTGTGGATTAGATTTTCTATTCTTAATTAGCCCTAGAGTCTATTCTCAAAAGCGAATAGATATTATAAACACGCACAACATGTTGACCCAAGAGGTCATATGAATTATGGAATGATTGTATAGGTTGAACCTTAAAATTAGTTTTCTTTTTGTTTTTGTTCGGCAAAAAATTTAAAGATAGTGCCGGATTCATCTGATTTACGAAACCTTCTGTTAAATACGACAAAAATATTTTTTAAAAGTCTGTGCTCGAACCTATCATATAATTTTTCCAATATAAAAAAGATCTAATAAGCGTGAGGTAGGTATTTGGGCTACACAAATCGGAATATAAATATATGCAGATAAAGAACTGCGGCGATATTTTTTAGAAGACATTGTTAATAAAAACTTCAATTCCTTAAAAAATTTAAATTTCATAAATAGTCACACATTCAATGTACATGACCGAATAACCGTATAGTAGACATTTTAAAATGTAACATAAGTGTTCAATAGAAGAAGCTAATAATAAAATGGGTTTTCGTAATTTTTTTGGAATGAAATGCTGTTTTGCTTCTTATCTAATAAATTAATATATTTTTCAATATTCGATAACCTGAAAGCAATAGTGCGTGTATGCGTGCCCATACTATAGCCCTAAAATCGCGTTTTAATATTGAAAGTATATACAATAAAATGTGGTTATAAAAGTAAAAGTACTATATTTATCGCATCTATTAAACTAGTAATTTAAATAAATCGCTAATGATTAATTCCATTAGTCGGTGATTTTTTATTCTCTTATTTAAAAATAAAAAGAAAAATTTCTATTTTTATTTATAAAGTATATTTTAAAGGTACCTTATAGTCATAATGTTTCTAAATGTGAATATAAGAAGGCAATAATAGAACAACTTTTTACTTTATCAAAATTTTCAAGCTGTTATCATATTTTCATAAAGGACGTTCCATAATAAGAGAATCCAAGAAATAAAAATAACAAAACAAAAGAAAAAATAAAAATAATAATAAAATTCCAAAAATTATTAAAATCTCCATATTTTCCATATAGTGTGCATTAATACAAGTTTATACATAGACATTTTTATTCAGACATTTCTCCAGAGATTGAATTCAAAAGAAAAAAAAAATCAATAAGAAAGAAAAAATAAAGGCCTGATTTACAAGGACGATGATATTAAATTTTTCTTATTTTCCTTTTTCTTCTTCTTTAGTAAAGATTCTTAATAAGTTTTGAGTTTTAACTTTGATTTCTTTGTATGTATTTCTCTTTTCATAAACATTAGATTGACTACTAATTAATAAACGGACTCAGTTTGTAAAATGTTTCCAATCTATTTTACTTAAAGATTGAAGGTATGATTTTTAACATGACTATAACTGATTCGGCTTTCAAGGACACTCTATTATTGTGGTTTTAATGGTAATATTACATGAATTCAAACCATTATAAATCAAAAAATTTGAAAGTTTATATAAACTGAAAATGAAAAGCTTAAAATTTAGAGTATAAAATGTATTTTGCAATTATATGTAGTGCAAAATTCGGTATTTGTAGTTCAAAATTATGTTATCAAATTTCATTCTGATATGACAAAAGGCTGTTTATGCTTCTGTAGATTGGTAGATTTATACAACCGGGAATGTTTTCTGAGACGCGACCTATTAGGATATATTGTGCGCGCCCACTCGTGAGTGCGGCATATGCCTAACAACACACGCTCGAGGCAAAACCTCCTGATGAACTCAAGCAACTCTTTATGCTTACTAACAATAAAATGTTAGAGGTAAACATGCATCGCATAAAAATAATATTATCTATGTATTTTATTTCGAACTCCAGCATATTAAAAAAAAATTAAGAAGAGAAAGAAAATTGCTTTTCTCAATTCCTTTATTTTTTAAGTTTATTTCTCTTACTCCCACTTGTGAAGAAAAAACACCATAGTACCTTTATACCTACCCATTTTTATGTTAGATGAATTTCTATTTGGCGACCTTTTAAAATATTTACCCAAAATTATAATTGGCTAATGATAAATAAAACGAAAGAGAAAAGTTCATACATTTTTTTTTTTCGTTGTTTGCATTGAATTGGAAACGTTTTTTTTTTCTTCCTTTTATTCGCAAGAATTTCCTTTAAAGATTTTTTTTTAACAAATTATAATTTTTTTTTTTATGAAAATTATTATTAAAAAAAAATTTATTCATTTTGTTATTTTTGTTTTTTTTTTGTTTGGAAAGTTATTTTAATTATTTCAATTTGCATTAGCGTTCCCTGTTATTTTCCTTTTTTTATTTTTTTGATATTTTTTTGACAGAATGAATTTTCTTTTATTCCGTTTCAAAATTTCATTACCTACATCTACGAATATAATATTGATGTACCCACACATTTATATATCTACATTAATTTTATCTATATATCTCTTATATAGGTACGTTCCTATATTCATAATTTATGTATGTACACATAATATAAATACTTCTACGTACAAAAATCTCCTCATTAGCGGATAAAATTAATGTTGTGCTAAAGATTGCCTTTAAAAACACAGTCATTTCTTATTTCCTGGATTATAGTATTGGTATATGTATGTATGGAAAAAGATATGAAAAAAATATCAGAACAAAAATGAATAATGCCAATTTCAAAATGGTGTATTTTTTGAGATAAATTTATTATTATAAAACTTATAAATATTTATTAATATTTAAATTCACTAAAAAAATTTAATGTGGAATTTCTTCAAGTATTAAGAAACAAGAAGAAATATTTTCTTAAATATATTAAATGTATTCTTCTTAAATTTAAATTTACAAATTTTGGATGTTAGTTTAATATTAAATATACTTGAGTTAAATTGACATTTATAAACAAATAAAATATGAAAACCTGTTGATTAATTCTATTGTAATTAATGACTAAGTTTAAACTATTGCATATTCGAGGTAATGTCATACATATTTATATTCTTTACATGAAGATACACGAAACATAAAAATAATTAATTAACTCATTCTTTACTTGTATAATTGCCACAAAATTAACGTTTGCACGTATCTAAAAATTTAACAACCGAATGTATTATTTTTTATTCCATAAATTAA